TATCTGAGATCCACCATCCTGGCCTGAATGATCTTTGTTAATCGATTACAATTGGTCTTCAAGTTAGGCAGGCCAGTACGCTGCTACTGCCTACGAATGGTGTTACGGAGTCTAATGAGATCTTTGGTAGGGCTGTCAAGGATCAGAGTGTTACTCACCTGTCTGGATACTGGTACGTGTTGTTCCCTGGCCCGGGAAATCGCCTCCTCGATGGTTTGTAGACACCGGTCAACATCTTCGGACGTTCCCGGTTGGACATCGTAGTCGATGGTTGTATCGACGCAGTGTTGATATTGCGTCCAGTTGACTCGATGGTAGTTGCGCCGGGAAGCTTCGAATCGTTTTACCGAGGATCCAACTTCGGCCACCACCGGGTAGTGGTCCGAGCTCAGCTTCTGGAATGCCACAAGTTGCGAGATGGCTGAAATGGTGACCGGTCAATCGAGAACTTAGCTCACTCATGTGAGCATGTGCAATGTGTCGTGTGTTCGACTTGCACTCTATCGTTGCGTCCGTGTTTGGGATTTTTCGTTACATGTATGAATTTTGATTTTTTTTTGTGACCCCCAGTATAGAAGTTAAAGACGTAGTCCTACGTCAAAAAAATAAAAACAAACGATGGCTACGTACGAAAAACTTCACCCGGGATAAAGCTGTTGGTTCACTCCAGGTTGTTTTAAAATCTACCATTAATGGTCTCTTAAAAAGTTTTTTTTTTCTTCTTCTTCTTCTTCTTCTTCTTCGCTTTTTAAGCTTATTGCATATCGCATATTAGCTTATTAAGTGCTCTCAACTTAGTGTTCTAGATACACTTCCACAGTAATCAATTGAGAGCTTTCGATGCCTGTACCCTTTTTGAATTGGTATAATTGTGTGGCAAGTCCAATCATGCTTCTATGCCCAGGGAAGTCGAGAAATTTCAACATGGTCTTGCTTTGTAGCTGCGTCGGTAAACTGAGCTAAGGGAGGCCCCAAGTATTTATAGAGGACTTAATTGCTGACATTAGGAGAATTTAGTAAAAAAAATTTATATATATTTTGTGTTACTTGGATTGGTCAATAGGCCCAATTGTGAAAAGTGAGAGATTTATCTCAGAAATTGTTTTAGAAACCTTGAATTAAAAAGTGACCTATTGCACACATTCCAAGGGCTAACTAAAAAACAGGATTACCAACCAACAAAAACCTTCAATAGTAGAGATTAAAGAAAATTATTTGGATCGACATGAATTTTGAAGAAGTTTTCAAGAATCAAGATGTCACTCAGGTTCCAAATTTCAAATGATCGAGAAATTTCAGATTTTCAAAGGATTAAGTTTCCAGCATTAAAAACTTATTTCAAGGTTGGATTGTGTTTTGAAGAAATTTTCAGGATTCAGGTTTTAGATTAAAAAAATTTTCAGAGATTTTTGAAATTCTGAGAAGAAATCCTTTCAAATTGATAAATTTAAATTAATTCTGGCAAGGATTCTTGGAGAATACCGTGGAAAATTTTAAGTTGAATTCCTATGAAATTATAGGCAAAATTCCAACAACGCACAATGGGGAAAAACGTGCAGAAATAAACATTTAACTACCTTAACTAATCATGTTTGTACAACTTCATGCGCGAAGTTAACGATTTACATAGTTGGATATGCTTAACATCAAATATCAGACTTAAAGGGGTCATTTTATACGATAGGTGAGGAGATGAAAGCATAGAGTTGATAGTTCCGATAGAGTACGGCAGTGTGAAAATTGCTTATAGAGAGTAGAAAGCGAGCAAAGGTCAATTTTGTGGATGGCACGAATCGGGTTTATCATCTCTTTTACCAAACTCCCCTGTTGGGGAGGGATGGTGAGGGTTCTCCCCCCCCCACCACTGGCAAAAGAGATGATCGCCGATTACGTACCTTCGATGTGCGGAAACAGTTCTTACATCACATGACGACTTGAGTGTGAAACAATCGATAGTGCTGTTTCCGCACATCGAAGGTACGTACATAAAAGAGAAACTATTATTTCCTGTATTGCCCACAGGATTATAAGAATTCCATGGGAATCAAATGCTGAAGGCAGTTCTAAGAAAATTCTGAGGAGACTTCCGAAGAAATTCAGAGAACACTTACAACTAAATGCTGAAAAGAACGTTTAGAAATTTCTGACAGTATTTCAAAAGAGTATGTTTTCATGAGACTTTCAGTATCGTTAAGAAAACAAGAGTATACCAAGAGACTTCTTACAGTTTTTCGAAGAAATTTTTTTGGAAGATAATTGATCGATCTTGTGAGAACTATGGAGTGAGTATTTGATTTGAAGAAATTTAACTGATATACATCTGGTATATTTCTTAAAACAATCATACCAAAATTCTACAAAAAATCAAGAAATTTATGCCTAGAAGTAGTACACCTCTTCACATGTAAATTAATATTGTCGTGGTTTTCTTAGATATTCGAATAAAAGTTGTGGATGATTAATTTTTGATAGTGACATTCCTTGTAACAATTATGCTTTCATCATGATTTTGAAGAGGTTTAAATGGTGTAAAGGTGTATATACTTCAAAACCGTTATCATGCGTGGAAAACAGTTGTTTATGGAAGAAATGTTGCGTACGTTGAAATGCAGTTTGTCCACCCTGGCTATGTCTACGCGCAAACCAACAGTTTATTATGCATAGGTCTGCATACAGTTGACGTTTCCTCTTTTCCAAAACTGACCGATAGGTCACAGTTAACATGCATGGATATGTTCATATGTCGCACATATTTCACATTTTATTAAACCCATGCTAACTAGAAGACCTATATTTGTACATCACTACGTCTCCATTCCTAATAATAGGCACTGTATGACAAATAACACACCAGTTATTGCACTGTATCCCTACTACTGCCACGCGTATTTATAGCTCTATGATATGCAATTTCCTTGGCAATAAACCTCAGTGGGAAACCCTCGGCCTGTGGTGGACGGTAGGCGATAAGAGTCACCCTCTGGGTTGAGTGCATATTTCCGGTTTTCCTGCGCCATTAAGGATACTGTTTATTATTTCTACCTGGCTCATACTAGTTTGGTCGCCTGTGAAGGCTGTGTATTAAATTGTCGGGGACAGGCAATAAAGAAAAACCTCTCCTGAACCATTTTTACTTCCTTTTGCACTTTGCTCGAAGGGAAGGTGCTGTGCTGCGACGACGGTTTCTCAATCCCAAGCCATTAAGTCTGACTTTATAGTGTAGCATGGCTGCGATGAAGATGAAGATGATGATCTCCGTGGTGACCCATCACTTGGTGGCACGGAAAGGTATCTCATAAAGCGGTGATTTAGTGCCCGTGAGCTAATTAAAAGGACACTTGTGCGAAACCGACGTGCCGTGAGGTTTTGGCTCGGAATGTGCCTTTGATGATGGGGTTGAGATTAGTTGGGCTTTATTTGAGAAGTAGCTGGGTGCGAGATAAAAAATTACAGCCTTGGTTGAGCAATTCGATTTATGGCCTCAAATCAGACCTAATTTATTACTACTTAAGATGATTTGAATTATCTCTTTTGCAAAACCACATTCAAAGATAGGCAAAGTGGCCTCAGTATTTCGAAAATAGATCTTTCCATTTGGTTATTTGTCCTATCCACCGAAAAACGAAACCGTTACGGCCAAAGATCAAGAACGCATTTTAAAACGTCTGCCCTCAATTTCCTGCTCATTAATTGACTCATTTTGCCCCGTAGACGCTCTTCATGTTAAGTGAGATGCCAAATTAATTGATTCCTATTAGCACCGCTAATTCGTTGCTCAGTAAGATGAGTAATCTACCCGAAAAAATTCAAACAAACCAACGAATGGATACAAAGAATCCAATGAAAGTAGATAAGCAAGTAGCAGAACTGCCAAATGGTTCTCATCAAAAAATAATAACTCGAAGCGGGAGAGAGAAAAAACATCCCAACCTTAAGACTTCAAAGAAGCTCAAAATCGTACCCCACACGCTGCAAATTTTCACCAAAACATGCGGCTTCATCATCTTTCCCATTACCCACCCCCAGCACTGACTGGTTCGTAATATATCCATCCTCGTCGGAAATCAGCTCAGACGTCGAGCACTTTCTTCGACTGTCTTGGTTTTTCGTATGGAAGAATCAACAATGGAATAGCTGGAGGAACAATGGTGAAGCGTAATTAGAGATTCTGAAAAGCCAAATTTGAGGGGTGCTGTATCGTCATCTTTTTTGCGTCAGAACAAATGGCCGGAAAACTGTATTGGTTGCACGGATGCGATTTAAATTATTATTAATATTATCATCATCATATTATCTCAAACTTACGCAGCTGCGTTGCTGGAAAATTGCGATCAAATGAGATGGAAATTGCTTGCTACATAAAATTTAACAGAGGTGCACGCTTTGGGCTGTGGAGAGTGGCTTCAAGGTTGTAGTCTTTAAAGGTCGTAGGTGAAACTGATAATCTTTAAGTATCACTGTGTAAAATGTGTTACTGAACCTGTTCACAAACTGTCACTCAATTACTATTTAGGTAATATTTAAGGACGCTTAGTGAACATGTTTCAGCTGATTTGTTCTTTTTTGCACACACACAAATGTGATAAACCAAAAGTGACATCGATATCAAGCTCAAAATATAGATGAAATGATGTAAAATTGGGAAACGTTTTAACCTGAAAATATTCGATCCACTAAACTGGAAGTCGAACCTTTGCTCACTGGGCCACCAATATTTTGATTTCAATTGTTAAACTTTTCTCCAAGGATACCTTTGCTCGAAACTGATTTAAATAATGATAACAACCAATCTGAATCAAACATCTCGACAACGCGAAACTCTCTCTCTCTCTCTCTCGTTCTGTCGAAAACGTTTTGTCTAACCAATCGCACCGGACGGCCACAATGTTCTACTCCTTCGCAGAAATTTTCAGCCGTGCAATCCTCGCACCAAGTTCATTACACTCACCTGCAAAGTAGTAACCCAACCGACCAACTAACGAACCAACCGTCGCGCACAGATGACGCTCGATAAAATCCTACAACCGCCACCGCCATCGCTGGCCGTGGTGGCAGTAGGTAACGGTGCCGGTAGTGAATCCTTGAACATCATCATCCCTGGTTCGACTCGAAATGGCAACAATAAAAATAAACTTCCCCATACGCTGCAACAATGGCAGGAAGAGCAACAACGCCAACCTAATAGAGCCAGCAACAATTGCAATCATAAACCTAATCAAAACAATAATTATCGTCACGCCGCGGCCGTCACTGCTGGTGTAAGGCAGCGATTGTTCGGTGGAACAGTTGGCAGGATGGAGGCTGTTCCGCAAATTAAAATCGTTATTGATGATACCGAGCTGGATCGACGGCGTGGAGAAAATAGTGGGGAAAGACAATGGGACGAGGGGGTTGTATCCTCACCGAGCCTACTGACTCCAGGCAGTCCTCCGGCAACGTTCTGGGGCTTTGGGTTCGGAAACGTGGACAGCGCTGGGAACGATGATAGTGAAGATGAAGCGAGTTATGAGGTGGAATATGAACTGGACGAAATGATAGCCGTGGTAAACGATGACGATGTAGATAGTGAGCTGGATGGTGATCATCATCATCATCATCATCATCATCATCAACACCATTTGCACCACGATGATGAGCTGGAGGACAATGGCGACGATGACGAGAGCGAACATGGCTACAGAAGGTTTGAGTTTGCTTTGGAAAATTTCGAACTGCTGCGTGTGTTTGATCCTTGATACTAATCTTAGCGGTAGGTCAATGCATGATTAACTGTGCAAAAATAAATTAATACCGAAAGATATCGAATTATTCACTAATATTTAATTTTATTTTTTAAGAATAGAATAAATCACGGCTTCGGCAAAACCTTTACCTATTATCGCCAGGGGGAACACCCCAAAAATAAACATGCAAATTTGTATTGCTCATGTCTCTGTCATTTTAAGTCCAATTTTCGTTCTCCTTAGGAAATTTAAGTCATGATACTCATGAAACTAATTTTGTACGAAAATGGGTCAAATAATTTTTCAGATTTTGTATAATAAAAGTTCACCTAAAGTTACAAGATTCTTCGAAGTTTACTCTGAATATTCATGATTGGTTTTCTCAAAATTGGGTCTTACAAATTTAGAATAGAGAGAGTGGTGTTATTAAATACCCAACGTTATTGACAGGTATAACCGAGTTCAGAAAATGTTGAGGAAATTTTTTTAAATTATTTGAATCATGAATAAACAGTGTATCTCAAAATTGATCGCCCTACGCAACATTTTTTTTTTGTTACATGGTGCATAGATATTTCTTTTTTTTAAATCATGGCAAGTGGTTTAACAGATGTTTATTGATTTGTTGCTATAGTTTTGGTATTTATTGGAGGATCCTGTATGAAGCTAGATTTATTTTAGTAAAATGCTCGATTTTCAACTTTTTACCTAGTGAACGAATTGTTATCAAATTAGTGACGTATGAATGATCTTTATTACGACTAAAATTGATCAAAATTTCGAGAAGTTATGTTCATTTTATTTCAAGAAAATAAGGTTTTTCATGAAAAGGCGTTTTTCTTAAAGTACTCTAAATGTTTGCAAACTTAACAAATTATTGCCCAATACTGAGCTAATAATTGATTAATGTATGCTGAGTCAGCTGCAAAAATTCAGATACGTACCTTTTTAACTTGTGCTTTAGAGCTGTTTTTCTAAAATTTAAGTACAGCTGTACGATCAATTTTGAGATACACTGTACGTATTCAAATCATCGATCAGAAATATGGGGTCACTCACAAAATAAAAAATAAAACGTCCAATTTAAGATACATGGTAACTTTTAATGAAAAATGTCACCTTAACCTATAACATTGAAACACCATACTGTGACCTCAAACTTTTGATCAGTGACTTGTATAAATATTCTTATGAATTAAATACTTTCTAAAGTTTTCCTCCAAATTTTCTCAAAAGTGGCCCGTTGTTAATAGAATAAGGGTTCTACTACTGCTTTCATTTCAAAGTTTGGCCAACCCAATTCTGAGAAAATCAGTCATTATGGTTCAAGGTACATTTTGAAATTTTTTGTAACTTTGGGTGAAGTTTAGTATACAAAATTTGAAAATATAAACACTGTGCCATTAACCAATGCAAAAAGCCCCAACCTTTCAAATTACTTAAAGAGAACGAAAATTTGACGTAAAATGTCAGATATCAAGAACAACATGTGAAAAGGGCATACAAGCTTTTTGTAAACAAACCTTCTTATGCCCTTTTCTCGCCACCCATATGACACCAACGCAAACCATCATCCTCACCGGGTAAGGGAAACTATACTCTTCCCGATGATGTTGTTGGTTTGCGTGGGTGACCCTCGGTTGGCGAGAAAAGGGCATACAAAGGTTTGATTACAAAAAGCTTGTATGCCTTTTTCACATGTGGCTCTTGATATATGAACATATCACATATGTTTTTTTTTTTTTGGGTTGACCATAAACTTATGATCGGAAGTGTACATCGTGTTTCAGAGCATGGTTTGGCCAAAATTAAGCGATATAAAGCGTTGTATATGTGTAGTTAAAGGTATTTATAGAGCCGTCATTCACCCTAACTCATTCATATATTCTTATTATATAGGGGAATTTACGTATTCTCGGCAACCTAAGCAGCAACCTTCTTTCTATAGCCTTTTTCTCTAAGGAACGCACACATATGCAGTATTGGTTTGTTTACAATCTTTTGCTGCCAGCTGCTCTAACAATTTCAGTCGAAAGAATTGTCAAAAACTGTTTTGAAACGCTTTTACAAAGCTCCAATCTTCTCTGGTGAGAGCGAGTATTGTCGGCAACCAGTTTTTCTTCGGCAACCGTTCCATTTGAACTGCGTGTAAATCTGCTGTTCTATTATCGGCAACTCGAAATCAGCTACAATTTGTAGTGCGGGAGTTGCATTTCAAGAAAACCTTGCTAGATTGCTTTTTCTAAGTGGTAAAAATATAGTCAAATTGAAGCTGAAAGCATAAAGAATCGTTTGCATGCATTCAGCGAAGTGTTTTCGGAAGAAAATCCAGTGAAAATAGTGTTTCAATTTGGGTTGCCGAAAATAGTCTGGCATGCCGAAGCCTTCATTTCCCCTATAACAGGACAAGAGCTCGATTGTTTTTATTTTGCCGTTATTGATAGAAAAACTTATGTTTAAATTTGAACATTTAAACTTGTAACTGTAGCACCATTTAAGCTGTAAATCATATTTCAACGATTAACACATCCAAACATTTAATCTAGAACTTTAATCTTACAAACCAGCTGCTAATCATTAAACTAATTTTCATTTTATATCTTATTATTTTTACAGGTATTCCACATAAAGGCTATCTTAGTCAAAATCAAATAATGGATTGAAAAAAAAATCACAACAAAAATACATCAACATGGCGGTAAATATAAATCATGTCCTGTGTATTGAATTGCAATAGAAACACGATTAATTAGTATTGAGAGTATTGTTCTAGCAAATTTCGAGTAAAGGACAGTTGATTAACGCGTGAGAATTATTTTTACAATAAAATACAAACAGTTTGATTCCCCCGCTACCACAAACTACATCGTTAAGCAAAGATCATTTGAAAGGTTAGAAACACACTCAAAACATGTTTGAAGCAATTTAAAACACGGAAAGGAGACCTCCAACATGCTTGAAGTATGTATGGGGGTAAAGAAAAATGAAGGGGAAGCTAACAACCAAATTTTTTTTTTATTGCTGGAAATAGGTCAATTTTTGCTTTTTTTTTGACCACCTATTTGCCATGACCAGGCATGGAAAATCATTTGCATTCATTTCGTGCATTCATTTACATTCATTTGCCTGTAACTTTTTTGTTCAACAGCATTCCGCAAAATGATGTATAGAGTTTTTGTAGGTTTTCTTATTAGCTACAACTTTTGCAAACAATTCAAATCCGTATCTCTTATGCATGACGAAGCGGAGCAAACAGAAGCCACTACTGTTTTTCAGTGAATGTATTTTACATTCACTTAAAAACAGTAACAAGTTCTGCCCACTCTGGTTCGTGATGCATAAGAGCTACAGATTTGTGTGATTTCCAAAATTTGTAGCTAATAACAAAACCTACAAAAGCTCTATACGAAATTTTGCGGAATGCTGTTGATGAAAATAGTTAGAGGCAAATGAATGTAAATGAATGTATGAAATGAATGCAAATGATTTTCCATGCCTGGCCATGACTTAGAAAAACTGTATTTACACAAACACTTGTTAAAGTAAAAAAAAACCGGTTGCGGGACAAAAGCCAAAACGTTGAATTACCTCTCACCCCAGTAGGCCTGGGTTCAATCCCAGTCGGCACCGCCGAAATGTTCATAACATCTCTGATCACGGGAAGTAAAGCCGTTGGTCCCCAGTTCATGAATTGATGGGTCGATAAGTAGGGTCCAGGTGTGGGAGCTGCCTCCTTGGTGTCGGTAGCATTGGTGCTCAGCGCAGAAAATAAGATCGACGGAAAACAAATCAAGGAAAAAAAAGTCGAATGGGCACAAGCTCTAATGAACAAAAGTTCGAATGCACAAAAGGTCGAATGGACAAATGGTCGAATGTACAAACGATCGAATGCTCCAAAGAGGAACAACAATGTGTATAGACTAAACGTTGAATGGTGACAAACGTTCGAAAAAATAGAAAGGAGACAAAAGGTTGAATGGACAAATGGTCAAATAGTCCAAAGAAAGACAAATGGCAAAACCTGGGGTTGTGTACAAGACACGACCGCATGGTTGACGTAGACTACGTTAAGCTGTGTAGTGAAATTCTCGTGCATTTTTCTAGATATTAACTAAAATACAGAAGAAGTAACCTATGATTCCGGTCCTATGTACATATTTTGGATTTCCTACTTAGTAATACTAGGTTAAATTCAGGACCTCGTAAAATGCGAATATATATTTGATTACATTTGGTTTCTAAATTAATGATTTGAGTAAGTATTTTTCCAGGTGATGCATTGCAGCGTCCGACAATGAATTCAAGATTGATAGGGCACAAATCTTGGACGGTTGTGACATCACTCATGAAATTGGAACTCCTTGTGTACTGCACTGCAGCAAACGTGAAGTTCCAGTTTCTTTGCTATAAGTTTTGTGAGAGCTGATATTTGTGCTCTTGAAATTTTTATGTGGTACTGAGATTGATCGGATATAAGGTTGCCACAGCGATTTAACTTCAAAACGCTAAAAAAATGCACACAAAAACACGGAGTGCACAATTTTGCACCAATCTTATGCAACATTTCGTAGTTGATCGGGATGATCTCGATTAAAGGGCGAACACGAAATTATTGCGACACATTCAACAGGGTATAGCTTTTTTACCATTGGGTAAAAATCAACCAAATTTTGCACACTTTCTCATTGTATTGTGTACATGCTGTCAAACTCGAAGTCGTGTTTTTCGATTCAATGAAAATGGAGATGAATCACCGCGAGTTGAGAGAACAAATTCTTTCCAAACACCTGGAATTTCCTGATCTGTCGCACCGGCAGTTGGGAAAAATGTTGAACATTCACCATTCAACCGTCTCGAGAGTGTTGAAGCGGTTCCAGGAGCGGTTGACGTTGGACCACGGCAAAGGAGCTGGAAGAAAACCGGGACCGGAGAACAAAAAGACGGAGGGAAAGGTGAAGCG